TTGAAATTTGTTTTGAACTCGATTTTTTAGTATCATACTTCATCAACAACTCTACTATAGAGGTGTCAAGACGGACGGACCGGCCAGACCTGTGAAAATCTGCCTGTGAAAATCGGGACCGCGAGCCGACCATGGATGTGTAACCCGTTGGCTTCGCGGGTTGCACCCCCACGAGCTGCGGTTAACCCGAGTTCCGTGAAAAAAAAAATTTGAAAAAAAAAAGTGGGGAGAGAGCCGTTTCCCCAGCAAGCGTGCCTGCTGCAGCTGCCATGCAGGCGCCTGCATGGTCTAATAAAAAAAAATTAATTTTTTTTTTTGTTAGTAACGGTAATTATTATTATTTTTTTTTTGGTTTCGGTAATATTATTTTTATAACGGTAATATCATCCCCCTTCATCTATAACTTTCAATTTATTCTTACAATTATTTTTACAATATCCTTTCATTAGTTATTATACACAATTTCTTCATAATTCAATCTTCATTTCTTCATACTTGTTACTACCTTACTACAATTTCTTCATACTTATTACTACATTTATAGTTCATTCTTCATTCTTCATACTTTCTTCATACTTAGTTCTCACTAATCACTACTAAACTTTTTAATCTTACTATATTATGGATTCTCGCGATTCTTCTTCTCAAAATCCTATTTTCAATGATAATTGCTCTCCAATAAATTTAGAAGATGATAATATTGTAGAAGTTAGATCATCTCAAAATACAAGGAAAAAACATCAGATGTGTGGCAAATGTTTACAGTAAATGAAAAGGATGGAAAAGTAGTATGGAATACCTGGAAAAAAGATTATGTCTGGAGATATGGTCAAGGCACCGACACACTACGGAGACACAAAAAGAAACATCTAAATGAAACGGGACATTTGGATCCTAGACAAACTCAGATTACTGGTTTTACTAATACTAGTGGATCAGTTACTTTTACTAATTTTGTGTATTCGCAGGAACGAATGCGAGTTGGGATGTCGAGATTTTTAGTAGCTCGTGAGATGCCCTTCACATTTGCAGAAGATCGGTATTTTAAAGAGTTCCTACAAAAATACATTCAACCTTCTTACAGGAGCGTAAGTAGAAATACTGCTCGTTCTGATTCTATAAAATTATTTCATACAATGGCTGAGAATTTAAAAAATGATTTTTAAAAAATTGATGGAATTATGTGTTTTACGTCGATTGTTGGTCTGGATGAAATCATAATGGTTATGCTTGTGTTACAGTACATTTCATTGATAATAACTGGTTATTGCATAAGAGAATTATTGCTTTTCGTTTACTTGAATATCCACATAATTGTGTAAATTTGTTTGAAAATTTATTACAAGTTTTTAATGAATTTGGTGTGTTAAATAAACTATTTAGTATTACATTTGATAATGCAAGTGCTAATACTGCATGCATTGAGCTTTTAATTAGAACGGTTACACCTTCATATGATTCTAAATTATTTCACATGCGTTGTGTTTGTCATATATATAATTTAGTTGTGTAAGATGGTTTGAAATTAATAACACTACAAATAAGTATAATTAAAGAATTTATTAATTATATTTCTTGTTTAGATTTTAGACAACAAGAATTTACAAAAATTTGTAAAAATCTTGGATTGAGAAGAAGAAAATTTGTTGATGATATTCCTAATAGATGGAATTCAACTTTTTTAATGTTAAAATCGTGTATTGGCTATACTAATGCTATTAATGCATTTGTTAATTCAAAGCAAAATCAATTTTATATAATTGATTCGGACTGGGAAAAAGCATTTAAAGTTATGAAATTTTTGAAACATTTCTATAAGGCAACAAAAGTTAGTTATGGAGTTCATTATCCAACTAGTAATCTTATACTTTTACAATTAGTAGAAATTGCAGACAGTTTTCATCATTTAGAGACGATCCATTTTATTTTTTTTGAAATTATTTACTCAATGGAGGAAAAGTTTAAAAAATATTATGAAAATATGCCACTAATTTTTCCAGTGACAGCTGTAATGGATCCTCGCATTAAGTTGTTGGAGGTCATTGTACTTTAGAATCACTTTCTGAAACATTGGATTTTAATATAAATATTACAAATCGACAATTGGAAATTTTTATTAATAAAATGTATAACTATTTTCTTCTCCAATCTTTACTACAACTTTTAAAGTCAAATCTTCTTTTTTCTCCATAATAGCTAAGAAATGTAATGTTCTTGATTCTTCATCTACTACTTCAACTGCAAATCCACATACCACACCTCCTGAATTAGAAATATATTATCAATTTGATCATTATAGTTTAATACCTGAAGATGAAGTGGATAAATTAGATATTTTACGATGATGAAAATTAAATGAGCTGTCATACCCTATATTATCTAAAATGGCACGAGATATACTAACAGTTTCAGTCTCAACAGTGGCATCCGAGTCTGCTTTTAGTGCAGATAACAGGGTATTGGACGAACGAAGATCTAGACTTAAAGAAGATATTTTAGAAGCTCTCATATACGTGAAAGATTTGATATTAACGATTCGAAGGATGCAAGATAAAATTAATGATGATGTTGCTTAAAATTTCAAAAATCTTACAGTTCATGAAGATAGATTGAGAAACAAATATATAATTTTTCAACAACTAAATTATAGTTAATAGTTAAGACTTAAGTAGGTGACAAGTTAGTTGTGATGTAATTAAATTATAAATTATAGTAAAAGTAGGTACCAACTTAGTTGGGATGTACTTTGCTATAAATATATACCTTCACGTAATTAGAAATGCATTTAGTTGTTAAATTTCAATTATTACATTTGAATTCTATGTAAACATTTTTTGGTATAAATATGAATTTATCATTTTATTCAATACTTCATTCTTAGTTTATATTAAAAAAAAAAAACAAATTTGTTATCAATATAAAAAATTCTTGGAACAACCCGCGACCCGTATGGGCTTCACCCGGATGGGTCAGCAAGTGAGTTTGGGTAGTCCAAAATTTATGGGTCAACCCGGAACCCGTAGCGGGCGGGCTTTTTTTTTACGCGGGCCATTGCCGTGCTCATATGTTGGCGGCCGACTCAGCCCACCTGGATTGACACCTAGACTCTACTATAAGGGTTTAGATATCACCTACATGTTCCTTATAAATATTAGACTATTTTATATAATTTTATAGTGTGAGAAGAGAGATTACTAGAATTTTATGATCAATTGTATATTTATCCATTATTATTATTGGTGTAATAAAATCTCTTACTTTATCTGTCATATTTTCTTATCTTCTTTATTATTTTTTTGCTTGTGATCAAATATTTCATTATTGTGTCATATAATTTTAATATCTCAATCATGTGGTTGATTTCATATCAAGTGGTATCGAGCGATACATGATTTTTGAATTCCCAACAATTGGTATTAGAGATTCTGGGCATAATTAACGTAACAAGTGGTATTAAAGCGATTCTGATATTTTGTTTGTTTCATAACAATTCAACATACCATTATGATATCCCTAATTTAAATTAGAAATTGAATTATTTTAATCCATTTTATTTATCTATATTTAGAATAAAATATAGACTCATCGCGATTATAGGATAGAAAATTAGATGCTTGACATGGCCGAGTGGCTCAAGGGGCATGACCCACATCTTATGACTTCAACTTTAAGCTGCCCTACTCATTTTTGCACTTTGGTTACAAAAGATTAAAACGGGATTGAAGAAATGTATTAAACGAGTTAATTTAAATAATGATTATCGAAATTTGTTAAAAACTTAGACTTTTTAAAATGGTAATCATTCAAAATTTTCAAAATTACACTAATGGTCACTTGATTGGAAATCTTTACTTAATAACTTATATGTCATCATTATTCAATGTGGATACAAACGACATTAACTAGTAAGTCATGTTAGACAAAATGTCACCTTCAAAAAATTCGCCAAAAAAAAAAAAAAATATAGAGCTTCACCAATTATGTCGTAAGTTACACAATCAGCCTTTATTTGACATGATAAACCAATTAACATCGTTTATGTCTACTTTGAAATTTAATAGTCATTCAAGGTTTTATGCTTGTTAGTAATCAATGACGTGTTTAATGGATATTATTGAAGAAAAATGTATTTTAAATAGTGATATTTCCATATGTGATTAAAAAGTAAGGAAAATTTATTGATATTATGGAAATTATTATTTTATTCAAGAATGTGTGGTTGAAAATGAATTTTGAAATAATGTATTTTGAAATAATGTGTATCAAATGGGGGCCAAATAATTATTAGTGTCTCTTAAAACTTGAATTACCACAACCATGGTAAAAATTACTTTAGAGTGTGTTTGATACACATTCTTTTGAAAGAATGTATTATTGAATAGTAGATTGATGGAGAATGTGTGGTTAAAAATGAAGGAAAAGTTATTGATGTGATGGAAAATATTATTTTATTGAAAAATGTGTGATTGAAAATGAGTAGAAGAATGAGAATAAAAAAAATAATGGATACCAAACAGAGCCTTAACATTTTGAAATTTTTAACAAACTATAGGATTCCTACTCTTTTTGACCGTTACATTCATCAATTACCAATTAAATATTTGAAAATGCTCACTCTTCCCTGCCACTCTAACTTTTGACTTTACCAGATCAATCCAATTCACACGGCAAACCACCACAGCGCATTGAGCTTGTTAAATAAAATAAATGGAGTGTTCTTATCAACTCTCTTTCAAAAACTTCCTGCCCGCTTTATTATTCTCTCAAATCAACGGTTCAGATTTCTCCCCCAAATCCGCCCCAAAACCCCTATATACGGCAATCTTGATTTTCTGCTGCAGAATCATCCATCATTTCTTTAGTTTTTAATCAAGATACTTGAGTTTTCATAAGTTGGAGTAGAAATTTGATTTTTCTTTGTCCGTATCGGTAAATCATTTTTTCGAGTTTCAGCACCTGTTTCATCAGGGAAGTAATAAGGTTAATAAGTAGAATCAAGAATGCCCGTATCTACAAGATCGCAGATCTTCAGCAGGCTTGAGCCAAGAACGAAAGATCAACAAGAAAACAGCCATATGCCATTGAGAAATCCACACCATGGACTCAAAGAGAAGATGAAAGCACTCACCCTTTTGTATGAACAGCAGAAACAGGCTATCAAAGAGCCAAGATTTTCGACTCACCCAAGTGTGGATCTGCTAAGTTCTGGAAATACAGGTGAGAAACGGGCTAAAGAATCGAAACCCAGTATTAGCCATGTGATGAGGGAGAGCACATTGAATAGTTCAACTCAGAGAAGGACTTATATCATGCCATTGCATTCAATGACAGAGGACTCGAAGGAGAACGCTGTAGTGGCGTGTGGTGGTGATCGGATTGTGGGAATTTTGTCTCCAAGAAAGGCTAATATGTCCAGTAAAGTGGCCAGGAAGCTCTCAATGGTGAGTGAGCCTTGTGGAAGTAAAAAGGTTGATGTCGGAGAATTAATGACCACCAAGGTGAAATCAACAATGGAAAATGGTAGGATCCTTGTGTTTGTGAGGCTGAGGCCAGTGGCAAAGAAGGAGAGGGAAGCCGGATCAAGATGTTGCGTGAGAATTGTTAATAAAAGGGATGTTTATTTGACAGAATTTGCAAATGAAAATGACTATCTTAGGTTAAAGAGGCTTCGTGGCCGGCATTTCACTTTTGATGCTTCATTCCCGGATTCTACTACTCAACAGGAGGTTTATTCCAAAACGTGAGTCACATAAAAAACACAATAACTTTTTTATAGTTTATATCTAGCTGCCAATGTAGATATTTTGTTGGAAAAAAGTTTCTTTAGTTTTAGTTGATCTCGCCAATCGTCATGAGATTTAAACACTGTAGGCGAAAACGAAAGAGAGAAGAAAAAAAGATGATGTCAATACTGTTGTCATGGTTCTACATTTTAATTCTCAATTTCTAATCTCTTAGTTCACTCATGCGTACTTAATGATTAAAAGAAAAAAAAAAGGTGTTTCCATTGATGTGTAATAATTCTGAAAGAATTCAAGGTTCCCGCATGCCTTTAGTAGTTCTAGTGCAATATTTCGTCTATGTGGAAACTATGATATTTCAAAATTTGGTGCTGCTGTTGTGATGAGACTCGGACAGTGTTCAAAACAGTTATTTTTTCTACTACTATGTAAAACAAGTTATAAAATTATGGTCGAAACATAACAAAAGGAAATTAGGAATGCAAGGAACAGTAAGTTGCATCAAGGTCTCATAAGCTGCAGCATGGTGTTGGAGATCTTATTAGTGTTTTGTTGGTAATTTTAGATCCTATGTTTGTGGCATGAACAAGTTAAAACTTCAATTTATTAACTGATTTAGATTTTCATTTGATCAGCTATTCTGTCTTTTGCGACGTGAAACAGTAAGAGAGCTGACCCTTTACTCCTGATAAGAAAACTGATTTTTCTGAACATCTTGTTTCCATCTCCCTGGTGATCCCTTTTTGACTCTGCACCATTGATTCCACCGTTATTAGTAAGGAATAATGGAATAATTCTTTCATATTTATAGAGATAGGGAACACAACTCACATGGATCAAATATGCAGTATTTACAAACAGAAGTATATGGTTAATGGGAAAAAATCAATATATTTTCTAATGTTGAATCAGTATCAACTAGGACAGAAGGTGCTATTGAGCATCACTTGAATAGAGGATGGACCTATTTGGTAAGGGATTCTTCGAAGGCCCAAATGAATAGTGCTTGGCATGGATTTCTTGGTCCAAATTGTAATTGATATAGGGCTGGATTGGGCCTCTCCTATCAGTTATACCATATGAGAAAAGTGTTTGCATCTCCATACATCATATTGGATGCTTATTTGATACTGAAATTCTGTATCTGTGCACATTTTTTTCTGTTGATGTTCACTGAATGCAACGTTTAATTTTTCAGAACAGCAGGTCTTGTTGAAGCTGTTTTGCAGGGAAGAAATGGCTCTATCTTTTGCTATGGCGCAACAGGAGCTGGGAAAACATATACAATGCTTGGCACAATGGATAATCCAGGAGTAATGGTGCTTGCAATTAAGGATCTCTTTAGCAAGATACAACAAAGAAGCTTTGATGAAAACCACACAGTTCATCTATCCTATCTTGAGGTCTACAATGAAACTGTAAGAGATTTACTTTCCCCAGGAAGGCCACTGGTTCTTAGGGAAGATAAGCAGGTTTGTGTTTCACCATATACAAATACACTTCATAGTTCTTAGCTTTCCGATTTCTTCAGCGTAAATCACATTTGTTTACTTACAAAAGGAATTGCATTAGCCATTTTGTGTTATCCTGTTCTCCCTAATGGTTTACACCCCGTGCAACAGTAATGGTCATTCCTCCCACCTTAGAAAAATAAAACTGACTTAATATTACTTCAAATATTTCAGGGAATTGTGGCAGCGGGTCTTACTCAATACAGAGCATACTCCGCTGAAGAAGTATATCTTCAGTTTCCTTTTTAATTAACTAAGAACTGAGAATAAAATATCAGGTTTGATATATTATCTAACAATTAACAGGTAATGGCATTGCTTCAACAAGGGAACCTAAACCGAACAACAGAACCAACTCGTGCAAATGAAACTTCTTCCCGATCTCATGCAATTCTGCAGGTAATTACAATCCTAAACTTATGTAATAACCTTAATTCTTATGCCAGCATTATGTATCCTCCATTATGTAAATTCAGGTCGTGGTTGAATACCAAGTGAAAGGTGCTTCAGGCAATGTTGTCAATCGAGTGGGAAAGCTTTCACTTGTTGATCTTGCTGGTTCCGAGAGAGCTATTGCTACTGATCAGAGAACACTTAGATCGCTTGAGGGTGCCAACATCAACAGGTCACTCCTTGCCCTGAGCAGCTGCATCAATGCACTTGTCGAGGGCAAGAAGCATATACCATATCGCAATTCCAAGCTCACTCAACTGCTAAAGGACTCGCTTGGTGGAGCTTGTAACACTGTAATGATTGCAAATATTAGCCCCAGCAGCCTATCATTTGGTGAAACCCAAAACACACTTTATTGGGCTGATCGAGCCAAAGAGATCCGGACAAAGGTTGTAGTCAATTTCATTAGCTGTCGTGATTTTTCACTTTATGTTTCGTACTGAAAGATTTTCTTTCTTTTTAGATGGCATCATTTCAAATGGAATACGTGTCGTAATTTTTCGTAGTTTTGTGAACAGCATGCTGTCTCGTAAATGCCTCTCATCCCTTTTCATTGCTTCATTTTGATGGGCATATGAATTCGTTAAGTAGATACTTCGGTGCAATCCTAGTGACTTTTACAAGGCATGTTCTTGGATTTGATATCAATTGTCGTTTTCAGGCCTGTGATGCAAATGAGGAAACTCAAATACCAGATTCTGAAACAGATCAGGCCAAACTGTTACTGGAGTTACAGAAAGAGAACAGAGAATTACGAATGCAATTGGCTCGACAGCGACAGAAGATACTAACCATCCAAGCAAAGTCCATTGCAGCAACCTCTTCACCAACCAATAAATCTGCCGGCCAGCCAAATGAAACACACAAACTAAGATCTTCTTTATCGGTAGGCAATTGTTTTTCACCAGTATCAAAGACAACGGTTGCCAACCAGACAGTTAAAGAACTTATGAAGACTATAAGATCACTGGAGGCTGAAATTCAGAGAATGAAGAAGGATCATGCTTTGCAGATAAAGCACAAGGATAATTTTATTCATGATCTTTCACTAAGGGGTGCAGAACTAGCTGAAAAGAGAGGCAATGGAGTGAAAAGGAATAACTCCAAGGCAAAAGAACCACCAGAGGGTAACTTGAGGAGCCCAGCTCATCGATTTTTATCTCCAGCACCCACTGCCAAAAAACGAAGGTTTTGGGATATTACAACAGCTAACAGTCCATCCGTTGCCCCATTAACTGGACGAAAAACCCGAAGCCATTTCACTACTGAACCCTTAGGAGCTCCGTCCATGCTTCTTCAGGTACATTAGATATTATATATGTATTAATTCCTTCCCTTTTTCGAGTTTGATAGGCTGAACACAATAAATGTGCACTATGCATGCTAAGAATTGATTCGTTTTTCTGGTGTATGTTCATATTTGGACGGCATGTCATTGAATTACATCATTTAGCCCGGTTTTGCTTGCCATAGACCTGAAACTTTGAAGCGGTGAAGAGGGGAAGAAAACCAGAAAGTATTGAAGCTGCATTTTTCATCTTATCTTCCTTGCAACATTCTTCTGAATAGAGGGAGTCGATGGAGAACATGGAAACAAAGTTGTACTGTTTTTCGTGCATCTTTCTCACATTTCCTACCGTCCAAACAATGATGTGGAGAAATATAGCTTCTTGAGGCTGAAATTAAATATGTAATTCTTCTATTATAGTCCATTATTTCACTTTGTTATGTGCATTCTATTCAACAGTTCTATCCCCAAACTTGTAGTTCAATTGACAAAAAAATTTAGAGCTTTTGACAAAAGTTGATTAAGTTAACCGGTATGATATTAATTTTTAATCTGAAATATAGGGTTATTGTTAATTTTAGTACAAAACTTTTAGGCCCCGTTTGGTAGTACACATTTTTCTTGGAAATTTTTTTCAATTTTCCAACTTTTCAAATTTTCCACCTTTTTGAGGAAAATAAATTTTTGATGTTTTGGTGGGTAAATATTTTTCAGATTTTCTTTCTTTTTTTTTTTTGGTAATTGGAAAAAATTCTAGACACAATGGTAAAATTTTTTTCACTTTTATCGACAATTTTCATGCAAAACAAAGCCAAACGAATGATATTCGGTATGATTATTTTTTTTTTCAATTTTTTTGGCAATTGGAACAAACTCTAGACACAATGGTAGAAAATATTATTACTTTAATGGACAATTTTTATAAAAAAAATGAAGCTAAACGGACACCAAACTTTTAACATTTTTCATGAAAATTTATACCAATCAAACACAATTAATTACAATTCCCAATAAAACAATTTTTATACAAATTAATTCCCTGTAAAACATTTTTTTTCCACCCATTTTCCACCCTTACAATCAAACGGACCCTCATTAATATTCTACACTTGAAAATCAATTAGTTGTTTGTTCATGTGTTCATTTTCTTGCGTGGTCTTAAAAGGACCTTAATGAAAATTCAATTTGTCATTCAACTTTAATTCATCTCAATCCTATCACTAGACCTCCGTTTACAAAATTTAACATTGCTATCTAAATATGCCATCTAATTATGTCGTGACGGTAAACATTGAAAATAAAACATGTTCAAAATCTACGTTAGTTCATCTAAGGGTAATTAGCAGAAAACGTCCCTAACATTTACACTCATTAGTAAAATAGTCTTTATCGTTTTAAATTTGACATTTGCACCGTTATTTCAAACATTTGTTGCAGAATTGGTCATTCTGTTAAATTTCGTTAAATCCACGTTAATGGAAGAATTTTGGTTTTAAATTTTTCTTATTTTTTGTCTCAATTTTGCGGGATTATTACGGAAAGTCAAACGAAGTCGAAATATTACATTTTTAATACCATTTTGAAGTGCGCATGATCTAATTTCTTCCATCCCTAATAGCGTGCGAAACGGCCAACCGTAGCGAAAGTTACCACTCGTCGAAGCAGGCCGTTCCAAAATATATAAACAATTTTTCTTATTTTTCGTCTCNATTTCGAAGTTCGCATGACCTAGTTTCTCCCATCCCTAACGGCGTGCAAAAGAGCCAACCGTAGCGAAACTTACCACTTGTCGAAGCAGGCCGTTCCACAATATATAAACGATTTTTCTTATTTTTCGTCTCCATTTTGCGGGATTATTACGGGAAGTTAAATGAAGTCGAAATATTATATTTTTAATACCATTTCGAAGAGCTCATGACCTAATTTCTCCCATTCCTAACGGCATGCGAAACGGCCAACCGTAACGAAAGTTACCACTCGTCAAAGCAGACTGTTCCAAAATATATAAACGACTTTTCTTATTTTTTGTCTCCATTTGCAGGATTATTACGGGAAGTCAAACGAAGTCGAAATATTACATTTTTAATATCATTTCGAAGTACTCATGACCTAGTTTCTCCCTTTCCTAATGGCGTACGAACGACCAACTGTAGCAAAAGTTACCACTCGTCGAAGCAGGTCATTCCAAAATATTATATTTTTAATACCATTTTTGAAACGACCTGCTTCGACGAGTGGTAACTTTTGTTAGGGAGAAACTAGGTCATGAGCACTTTGAAATTGTATTAAAAATATAATATTTCGACTTCGTTTGAATTCTCGTAATAATCCCGCAAAATGGAGACGAAAAATAAGAAAAATCGCTTATATATTTTGAAATGGCATGCTTCGACGAGTGGTAACTTTTGCTACGGTTGGCCGTTTCGTACGCCGTTAGGGATGGGAGAAATTAGGTCATGAGCACTTCGAAATGGTATTAAAAATATAATATTTCGATTTCGGTTGACTTCCCGTAATAATCCCGCAAAATGGAGACAAAAAATAAGAAAAATCGTTTATATATTTTGGAACGGCCTGCTTCGACAAGTGGTAACTTTCGCTACGATTGACCGTTTCGCATGCCGTTAGGGATGAGAGAAGTTAGGTCATGCGCACTTCGAAATGGTATTAAAAATGTAATATTTCGACTTCATTTGATTTTCCGTAATAATCCCACAAAATTGAGACAAAAAATAAGAAAAATTCAAAACCAAAATTCCTCCATTAACGTGGATTTAACGGAATTTAAAAGAAGGACCAATTCAGCAACAAAGGTTTGAAATAAGGGTGCAAATACCAAATTTAAAACGGTAAGGACTATTTTAACAATGAGTGTAAATGTTAGGGATGTTTTCTGCTAAGCTCTATTCATCTCTAATTTCAAAATTTGCAGCATGTGCCATACTTACCTAGAATCAGAAATGGACAGAGGATTAGGAAGTTAAACTTAACAACGGAAGTAACTAAATAGCTAATATTTACTCGATGAAGCATTCCTTTTCACGAATTAAACAACATCATTAGTCAGCGAACATGATGTATGCATGGAAATATTATAGAGAAATTAACGTAAACATTAACACAAGTTATTCTCGAAAAGGAGGTTGAAAACCCGACAGAAGTCACGGTTAATTTCAGACTTCATTTTTTAGTAAGTGCCAACAACCAAACCTCAATAGCAACAAATTCTTTTGACATTCTGAAAACAACTAGTTCGTTTACCTGCACGAAATCCAATGCTTGGAAGAGTTCAAATTTGACTATTTGAATAGTCAAGGCACTACCAAGCATAGAGTGAATGTTATTCGTGTAACATTGGATAATAATTTTGGATAACTTCAGTTGATACCAACAGAAATAATCTTGATAAAATATCTACTATTTCCAAAATGCAATACCAAATCCGTCTTAAATTAATAAAACATCTAAATTCAATATATTTCTTATCATGTATTAGTACTATATTTCTTATAAATTATGCCGGCGATACCAATTGCCCCAAGTAAAAAAAATGAAATCCCTACAAAAAATCTCAATGCTATTCATACCTAGCAATTAGACCCATTTGGTCCCCATTAAAATTATAATTCATTTTTTTCTCTATTCCTATCAATCACACATTCTCTAATAAAATAATATTACACGTAATCTCAAATTTTTTTCTTCTTTTTTAACAACACATCTTTCAAAAAAGCATTATTACAACTATTGAAATTTCAAATAATGAGGGCCAAGCGGGAACTTAATTTCATTCCGGAATAGATACACTCGTAATTCCCAAGCATGTAAAGTACTAATAACATCACTTCAAGGGTTTGAACAAATGAGTTCATATTTGATAAGGAGGAGCAAATATAACCTCTAGGGAGATTTTTGAGGTCGGCCACTGATATCGTGACACTCCATGGAAGCTTATGCTCTATTTGGTTCAAATAAAAAACATATTTTAATTTAAATCAAATTTTATATCTAATTTTAACCACATATTTAATGAATTTTTAATCACACATTTCAACAACTTTTATCAAAATTTACTATAAAAATATGATTTTTATACGTACCAAACATGGGCTTAGTATTGGGATCCCTCTCTAAAAGGTGAAGATAAAGCTATGAGCCCAACTTCAACAACTTGCTCAAAACCAAATACTTGTGTCTTGTATAAATTTCATGCTTTCACAAAAATATCAAAAGAGCTAATAGAATCCCAAATTGTAGGATTTCACAGCATACTTGAATATGAATTACAGATCAAGAATCTTTACTTGAAAGAATGAATTCCAAAATCTTTGTATGATTGAATCACTATGCATTTTCAAGCTCCAAAATCTGCATTTTTTCTATTCTTCAATAGTCTCAATCTTGATCACAATGGAAGTGAATTATTATCCAGAATCGAAATGCCTAAGTTTGTAAGTTTACATGCCATATATGTGGTTCTAGGCATTTTTCTATTTTTGAGTGATTTCCCATAAGAATTTCACACATTTTATTGACGGGAGTTAATTCAAAATTCTCTTTCATCATTCAATTCTAAGTGATGGGAGTTATTTCAAAATTATGGAAGTTATGAGTTCTAATTCTACTCCTTATAATTCACTTTAATAACTCGTTACGACCCGTATTTCTCAACATCTCCCTCTCGTACATGATCTACTTGACCCAAGCCATAAGCGATGTCACACATTAGATTATTTTCAAGGTCTATCTCATAAAAATTCATATGGAAAATAGATTGTACGATCAACGAGTACATATTAGAACTCACGATACTATAAAATAGCTCCATTAGAGGAACATTACTTCTCGCTATATCTCAAACTCATTTTCCAATATTAATTCAAGTATTTCTGATCCCTCAAATATGAAACATACTTGAACCCCATATCTATAATTATATTCACAGTTATGTTCTATACCATAAATGGTTAAACAAATATAAATATTGGTCAAAATAGTTTTCTTTTCCTACTTGAATCCTTCAACTTTAAATCAGCTGCTTTCCTAGACATGTCCCATCAAATCGAATCAATTATAGTCATGGTAACATGTTAAAGTAGAAATGCCGAAATAAAATATTAAGAAACAGTCAGAAGTCATAAGAGTATATATGATGTTATATAAACCTCAAGGTCTTACACAATGAGGAAGTGGGAGTCCATTCACTC